CCAGGCCTGGGAGGATCTGGAAGTAGATTCTCGATAAAATTAAACTCAGTTAGTCTCCCGGGTGTAACTGCGCCCTTCAGCCGGTGCTTAGACCTGGGGCGCGGGGCTCAGTGACAGAAGGTTCTCAGGGCCAAACGAGCCATCCCAGGGGCACCCAGCACAGAGACGCTGTGGGTCTCACGGGGAGACTCCTTCTCGTTCTCTAGGCTTCCTTGGTTCAGAGCCGCCTTCTTCGGCTGAACCCACAAACTTCTGTGTCAGGGTAACCCCTTAGGGAGGACCAGGCTTCTCCCAAAGGACTGTTAGGAGTTGAACGCTGCTTTTTCTTATAGCCCACGGGTCCTTGTTCTTCTTCTTCTTTTTTTTTTTTTAATCTTTTTTATTGATTTTTTACAAAGAGGTAGAGGGATAAGGAGTTAGAAACATCAATGAGAGAGACACATTGATCAGCTGCTTCTTGCACACCTCCCACTGGGGATGTGCCCGCAACCAAGGTACATGCCTTTGACCAGAATCGAACCTGGGACCCTTCAGTCCCCAGGCTGATGCTCTATCCACTGAGCTAAACCGGTTAGGGCAGGGTCCTTATTCTTGAGACTCTCCCTGGTGTCCTGTTTCTGACCAGAATGTAGAAAACCTTCCAGATGTTCTCAGAGCGGATGCCGTTCTCTCAGGGAGCCCAGCTCTGCTCTGTCTGTGATCCCTGGACTAAAAGTCCACTGGGGGATTTGTAAGGCTGAAGAAAGTAAGAAATGCAGGACAGATAGGAGGTGTCCAAACCTGTAAATAATTTTTATAAAAATTTATTTGATGCCAAACCGGTTTGGTTCAGTGGATAGAGCGTTGGCCTGCGGTCTGAAGGGTCCCAGGTTTGATTCCGGTCAAGGGCATGTACCTTGGTTGCAATGTTTCTAATGCGGGCACATCCTCAGTGGGGGGGTGTGCAGGAAGCAGTTGATCAAGGTTTCTCTCTCATTGATGTTTCTAGCTCTCTATCCCTCTCCTTTCTTCTCTGTAAAAAATCAATAAATATATTTTTTAAAGAAATTTAAAAACATTTGTGCATTAGAAGACATTACCAATACAATACAAAGGCAACTCACAGAATTTGAAAAAATGTTTGCAA